CGTAGTCTCTTCGAATAGTAGACCCACTGTATACTCAGTGCCCAGTAGCGCTGACAATTTTAAACTATTGATGCGAAGTTGTATTAACGCAGAGTTGACCCGCAATCAGTCCTCAGCTGCGAGTCTATTCGGTGTAGCCTTCTTTACTATGACGCAGCATGCATGGGAGGCTTTCCGTTTTCAATAAGTCTTTCTTGTTCTCCAAGCTTCCTGCTTTTGCTGGGCTCAGTCTCGTTGTGCACGCTATTTGGCCTTTTGCATGCGTTTTTCCTCAGGCTTTGTTTCCATTTGCGTTCGACTGTATGCTGCGGCTGGTTAAACCCCAACATCCACAGGCTACAAAATCCTGCTTTGGTTCTTTCTTTCAATCCGAAACCGCAGGTGCGGTGCTTATTCTATCTTGTATCCTTAAGCATTCCATTATTTGCGGAAGCCTCACTGATCGCATGTTCACTTGCCGAGTCTCTGCCCACCCTAAGACTACCAGAAACCAAACCTCCAGTAGACTTGAGATATACCATTGGTAAATAAAGCGTTCGCCCACTCTGTGGCTTTTGAAGTCCGAGGTTTCAAGTTATTGATGCTCCCATCCATTTATAGATGCCCCTGAGTATGCCCTCTCTGTTCTTCCGAGCCTCGACCCCCAACTGACCCTGGTATGAATCAGATCTCCAGAAGCTGTATGAAGGCTTTAACTGCACTAATTCTTGCAGGCAGATGCGTCACTGTACATGGATAGAGCCACCACCGCAGTGTTTCTTCCTCTAGTAAACGTGCTACAGGGAGCACTTGTTTCTTTTCATCTGGGGGATACAAAGCAAGGGTATATCTTCAACCGCCCGAGGTAATCTGTAACTGCTTAAAAGTATGTGCTGTGACACATTCTAGTTGCCGGGACCTCGGCGACACATCTATAAATGCTTTGCTGACTGACAAGCAATGCCTATGCACCAGCTGAGGAGCTATTGCGCTCGAGACGGCTTACATGCCGGTCTCTGCCTCCCGAACAGTCGTTGTAGCCGCCTGCTTTTATTTTTTAAGATAGCTTATACCAGCTCTATGTCAAGGAAAATCAGCCTATTGGATTAGGAAATGATTTAATAGAAAACACGACCGAGTTGGAGAGAAGCTGACATGCGACTACATCCACAACGAATAGATGAGCAAGGAAGAGCTGAATCAAAGCATGCGGCGCAATCGATTTGTGCACTCTACGAATGGTCACCGTGGAGAGTCAATGAGCTTTATTTAAGCTTGCATTCAATCTTTAGTTTAAAAAGTGTTTTTCAGAAAAGCTTCCGCCTCTCCCTCGCCCCACCCCTCAACCTTCCGAGAATAAAGGAGATGGGCAGCTACAGTGTGTGCAGCTTTACACTCTAAGCACTTCAAACATTCACAGCTAGTTGGCGATAGCATCTAGAGCACACGCACAAGGCATTGCATCAACTTGTGTTGAGCGAACACCACTGTGCAGTAAATATGACATACGGACAACCTTAGCAGTTAAACCATTTTATATTTCTAGTAAACGATAGCTATTATGATGGAAAGAGTTTCAGATGTAGATTAGCGTGCAACAGTCATTATAATACATGAAGACTGAAGTATTCATGGCGTGCTTTTAACAGGGTAAGCCAGAGTATCTGCAGATAGATTTAGCATTGGGACGTATCCTGTGGTCAGTTAGATACATTTGACTCTGGTTGACAGGGAAGGCAGGTGTACAGATCCAGACTTTGCGCACCGACTCGCCCAGTTGAAACCAGTATTCAGTGGCATAGCTTAAAGCTTGTGAGTCATGTAACCCAAATGCAGATTTGTTCCAACCCTATCTGCGTGGTAGATCTACAAAAACATCTTAATAAGTATGGGCCTTTCGCTTTATGGTGCCTTGCTGCCACGGGCTAAAATCAGAGGCCCCCTAGTGGGCCAGAGGGCCCCGGTAGCCCGGAAGGGGGCCCCAGGCACCAGTTACTGGATTTCGTGTCAGTGGGATTGACGTGGAAAGATTCTTCACTGCATCATGAATTCGCTGGTTTTCTATATTTGTATGGAGCTGCCCTTTTGTGGGGCCCTGAACCACAAGTGAGGTGACTAATTGCTTACTTCAATTTCCTGCGGGTTTGGGAGAATTTGAGCAGTGTTCCTGGCCTACCTTGTCTGCCTTCTGGCTCTCTTTATATGCAACAATAAAGCTTGGATTCATATTTGTCTGCCTGGAAGCTTCAAGTGCAGCCCTTCAGGTGGTGAAGCCCAGAGTGCACAACCCACTAGCCCGTGCAGGCTGCAGCTTGCAGCTACTCTCAGAGTTGTCGCTGCTGAGGTTCGGCGCTTCGGATCAGTGGTTTAAGGGCTCTGCATCAGATAGGGCAATAGGCATATTTAGAATCAGGGGAGTTACCAGTTCGTCCGTCTCTTCTCGCTCGCCACCAGCCTCCAGCGGAGAGCGGCTTCGCCCCTTTCCTCGCAAGGTTCGACGGCATCTGCCCCAGGCCCTCGCTGGCGAGGCCTTTTCATGCGCTGCCTCTGGGCTTCTCGTAAGCACAATTATTCGCACCTTGAAGAAACAATGGAGGGAGAAGTGATCAGGGATGACGATGAGGTTGAGGCCTTGGGGGCTTCCGTTGATTACGTGGGCCAAACCATCGAATCGAGCAAGGTTAAATACCAATGGGTAACGAAACTAGACGCTGTTTAGATCCCCAGACGGCACACTCTAACCCTTAAGACCCTCTATCAGATGCCGAACCGCCATGCTCACCAGTGTGACCTTTCAGCGCGACACTGCTTGCGTACAACCCGACGCGGAACCAGAGCAACCGAGCATAATTGAGCCCTTATAGCTATGTCTTTTAGAGGCTTTTTAGGATCCACACTCGAGCGCCCTTTTGCCTATGCACGAGGGACCCTACAAAGATATTTGTAAGGGCTGCACACGGTTTGGTGGGTCAACGCTTTTTGGCCTTTGCACGTACAGCATTTCCGCATCGCGAACTCTGACCATCGAGTAGAATTCTTCAATTCGAAGATATCTGGGAGGAAGAAACTGTATATGGACGCTAGGCTCATCCACATGCAGCAACAGTAAGCCGAGGAGGACCCGATCGTGTCCAGCCCATAGTCTTTCAGTTATGCCATCCATCCAAGCCCCAAATAACATGGTGCAACGAATAGAGGCACTATGTAAAAAAATGATGGGCGACACGGGATTTTTCTCAGTTCCGTGGGTCTTTGCTGCGGCGTTCTCCTCCATTGAAAGACCTCTATATGCCTGTCTTCATTCCCGTTGCAGTTCCTCCTCACTGCCTTCTTTTCGGCTTCTCTCTGTGCTTCTTTTAGGCTGCGTTCTAGTGGCTTCGAGTATTCTTGGCCTTGCCAGGGCCACCTTCTCTCCCTTATATACGATCCCCGTGCCCAGGCCTTCGCGCTTACCATCAATGGACTCCCCTTCCAGCTCTTCTACCGACGTAAGAGTGGGAGATTTAGCATTCCTAGGCTCTTTGGCGTGCTGCCTTATATTGGCTTGTCCATATGCGCTATGATCGAGAGTTTGTCATTTGATGCAAAGAGATGATCGCGTAGGCTGCGTGAGTGCTTTTTTGACTGCGTAGCAGGCGCCTTTTTGAGGCCCCAGCAGCACACATTTTCGCAATCTTCTTTGGGCGCTGTTCCTGCCGCTGCTGCAGCTGTGGCCGCTGCACAGCAGGTGCAGCCGAATCAGCAGAATCCTAGAGTTCCATTTGCACTCACTAGCCAGCGAATAGCTGCTCATTCAAACTCGTTGCAGCGACAGCAGCAGCCCAATCACCAGCAGCCGCATTCCTCTTCCTCTACGTGCCAGCCTATTTGGGTATCTCCTCCAACCTCTTCCTCTCAGCTCCCCGAAGATGTAGACCTGCTGGGTAAGCCTAAGAAAAAGACTTCGTTTTTCCTGCACGCTGCTCATGGAGCTGCTGAGCAGGACTCACTACGTAGCCATGATGAGACGATGTGCTGCTGTTTGTTTCAGACCTCGTAGGCTCCTCAGCGAGTCCTCCTTCCACCGGCGGCGCGGCCTCAGCAACAGATACAGGAGGCACCTCATTGGGAGCCCCTATCTCTGCATCTGGGGTTCCCACTTCTGATGATACTGAGCTTGCGCAGCTTGACGGCGCCTTCTGGTCAGAGCAGCCAGCCACACCAGACTTCCCTACTCCGGCAGGGCCTTCTGAAGAGCCTCACGTGATGCAGCCCCAACTGCCTCCTCCCAAACCCCTTCCTCCTCAGGGCAGACAGGATCAGGGGATTCATGGCGGCAAGCTGCCTTCGTCGGAGCGATTACACGGTAGTAGGAGCAGCAGCACAAACCGATTTGGGGGAGCGTATCATCAAAGTAATTCCGAGAGACCCCCACACGCTTTTCCGAGTCCACGGAGCACCCAGGAAGAGCCCCTCTTTGCGGACCTCATGGACCTGGCATCAGACAAACTAAACATCTCGCTCTCCCCGAGAACGCGCAACGGGCACTCTAAACCATAAAATAGAGGTTGTAAAGGCATTTTAGGGGGGCTAAGCGGGGGGAAGTTGCGCCGTCAGCACGCCACTGAACTCCGAATAGGAGGCCCACACACTTCGTCTGAAGCTCTTCGGAAAGGACGCCATATCTAGTGGAATCTCCTTGATATCATGATGTACCTCTAGCTCGTCGGGCGGCCTTCCTTACAGGCTGACTGTTTTGGGGGGGATAAAGAATCCCCCCAGGCTTCTTTTGAGGGTCACCTATTTTTTTGGCTGTATATTCTCTCGAGGTTTTCACCCCCAAATACTACGGGGACAAAGTTACAGTCAAAAGCACTAGAAGCGTTAGTAGGGCGGACAGTTTAGGCCTCGCAACAGGAGTCTAGGCTGCAGCTGCTCACTTCTTCATAGAACAAAAACCGGCTACTGAAAATCAAGGATTGCGATACTATGGTATACCGCTTGTCCCCTAGTCGAAATGCGGTGGCTGATGCCTAGCCTTCTTGGCGTGCCTGGAGCTCTTAAAGTGTGCAGAGCTGGGCTGCAATCTGTGCAGCTCTGGACGTCTGTGCATGTCCTTCACGGAAAGGATGCAGGGGCAAACGCGCCCATCAAGAGTTTGCATCTCAGAGGCGTACCGCTTTTCCTCCAGGGCAATTGGTTGGTGGGAACCGGCACCGCTTAGGGCGAAATCTGGACGAAGGAGGTCTATGACTCCGTGACGTGAAGGGAGTTCCTCTGTCGAAGTGAAGCAAAGTTAGCGCCGCCAGGCATAAGCTCGAAGATTTTGTTGGAGCAATGCATTATTCTAAAGGGTGGTTAGACTTTTAGGTGTAAGTACACGCTCTGGAACCCAGTGTCTGTCGTACGCTAAGGAAACGATCATCTGCTAATGAATAAGGTTGAATTTTTGTACCGTCTAACACTCCAGTACCATTCTAAATCTCAACCCAGACCACCGGTGCTGCACGGCGAGGCGGGCTTGGTGTTGCTTTGGATTTTCGAGAGCATTAAGAGCAAACACGCAGAAACTAGGGTTCACTTTGATCTACAGGTTCGTTTCTTGGCTCATGTAAGGGGACATTGTGGGGAAGCAGCCTCTTTCTTGAATCCTGTTCTAATGGAGGCACGTCTCCTGACAGCGCCCGACGCAACTGGGCGCACCCTGCTCCTCGAGACCCAGCGATAAACGCGTCATTGTTGTGCATGTTTCGTTCTTCATTAAGCTCTGTACGCTCTTTTATAGTAGTTTATTTGCTTTGAGCTTATTTGAATGACCAAAAGGCTGAGACATTCCCTTCTGAGATCGGCTTTTCTGGTCTGGGGGCATCGGCGACCTGTGTCCATCGACTCCGGGGAGCGGCCTCCCCATATTCTCAGGAAAAGACTCATTCATAGAAAAGTAGTCATCTCAAAAGGTTTTTATTTATATCTGTGGAACTCTCTATAGCAAGTTCAAGCGAATCGCCGGAACAAGCCGGTAGATTGTCGCGCGGCGCCTTTAGCTGGGCTTCAGTGCTCAGCTTTGGGTGTACGCGAACGCAAACCATAGGCATCTGCGTATATCTCTCTTGTCTGTGCCTTATCCTTCATCAAGCATCTTCTGTTGTGGCAGCTGGATGCGGCTTGCTTACTTCTGGACTCTTTGTGAAGCCTGCTTCTCCTACTGCGTCGACGGCGCGAACCGGCGCTGTGTGTGTAATTAACTCTCGCGCTCATTGCACAGACCCATATATTGAAACACGTGAGGGCTCCCTAGAGGCAATTATTACCTGTCGGTATCCAGCCTGCGCCGTTTTGTAGACCGATGCCTCTTCCACACCATAACTTCGTCGCTTGGCTATTTGCTAGTGAAGGTGGTACTTCTGCTGCTACTACCGGCAACTTATCCTCCTGCTGACGCCGAACAAAGTGTTCCACGAGCTGGATAGTTCTTTTTTGCGTGCTTTCCTACAGGAGAGTTCATGCTTCCATATATGGCAGGGCGCCAGATTTCGGGTTTTTGTGGCTCTTGCAACAAGTATGGCGATGAACGACTTTGGCTGGATTGACCTCTGCTACGGAGGTCGCCCGCAGCAGCCATGCTGCTCACTACGTCTTCAAGCCATTGTTTCCGAGCTAGACTCACTCATCAAGGATGTGGAAGGCACGTTTTCCCCAGCAGGATGCGGGCTAGCATGCACCATCAGATCTACGCCGGCGAGGCGTGTCCACTTCCAACCCAACTTCCACTGGCAGAGAAAGTGCTAGGTCTTATATGTTGTCTTCAGATTTGAGGGACCGAATTTCCGAGGTGGAAAAGCCGGACGCGGAGGGCCTAGTGAGGGCCGCCGTAGAGAAGCATCTGAGCGAATATCTCCGGCGTTGCAACGAGTTAAATCAAAAATGGCAAGTGCAAATCACCAACTTCGGTGAGGAGCTAAAGCGGCTTAAAGCTGAAGGTGAGCTGTGTCAATATGAGCGGTACAGACTATGCAATTAGGAGCAAAGGCGCACACTAGCAGACTCTCAGTCAGACACAAACACGCGGATTGCCGTGCATCCAACAACAGCCACCCCTCCAACCTGCCATTGCTCGGCACATTCAAGACAATGTGGCAATTTCAGGTGTTCGCCCACATTTTTTTTGCTGTCGTGATTCAGAAATTGTCGAGCTGCGCACTTCCCTAGCCAGCCAGGCTGCTCAGCTGTCGTCGCTGGACAGCGATATGCAAGTATTGAGGCAGCTCTTGCCTGTACACGGCGCAAGCCTCAAGGCAACAGAGGCCGCACTGCAGCTGCTAAGGGAGGGCACGGAGAGGTCTATTGAGGGAATGCGTCACGAGATTATGTTGGACCAAAAACGAAGAATGAATCAGGAAGAAAGGGCAAAGGAACAGCAAGGGGAAGCCGAGGTAACTGGAACAAATACACCAGTAAAGGCAAAGGCAGAGGCCAAATACAGATCTGCACTAGATTATGGTGACACTCCCGCTGACTTCTTGAGGAATCTAAGGGATACTCTCCGGTGTACCTTACATCAAAAACGGTAGCAAGAACGCACTCATGAGTTGCGCACTGTGCTTTGTCCACCCCAAGCAACAATTTGCACATGGCACCTGTATGCGTCCTCCAGATTTTGCTCGATGTGCCGTATCTATTTGCTCTCTGCTGTCGCCTGCTTAGGAAGCCCTAGAGGCGTTGCGTGCGGATCTGTCTGCCCTAAAGAAGAGCTGCCGCCAGAGCAACGTGGCACTGCTACAGCTGCGGGAGGCCCTCCCCGAGGCTGTTGCTTTCTCTCAAGACGTGACGACCCTAAGAAGGGACGCCGAGCAACAAGCTGCCAAAGTTGCAGCCCTTGGAAGATCTGTATGAATGCACTAAAACCCTGAATGCTCAATGCCAAGCACGAAACCCACAACTAACAGGCATGGCTGATGCCCGCATACTTCTGCGTAAAATAAGCACTCGGTGAGATCTATGCAGTCCGGGATATATCACCAACGCCTTGGTTTAGACCTTAATGAGACGGCTTTAAGCGCTGCGGGTTTGCCTGCTTGTACTCTCTAGCTATCCACGGTCGAGGAGCAGCAAAATCTGAAGGGCAGAGAATTGGACCGGCTTCGCTCTGAGGTTGGGATGATCAAAACAGCAGTACACCACTTCTCAGTACGTTGTAGAGCACATTGCCTTCATTCTCCCTTTCCTATGGGAATCTGTGTTTCTCTTGTAAGCATGTGTCGCTGCTCATGGCTGCGTCAACTCAGCGATGGCAAGCCACTGCCTCGCTAAAAATGGGTCATTTCTTGCTAAAACTATCTCCTTTTTTGTTGTTTGCCACTCTCACCCCCCGCTCTCTGCTCGTCCTTCGCTGTTTGCGCGTGGATGCACCCTCTTGATTGTACCTTGTTCCCTGCCCCCTCCTCGTCCGTCTCCTTTCGTCAGTTGCTGATCCCCTTTCTGGCATTGCTTTCGTTCGTACACTGCTTTGCACTAGCGTATGCTCCGTGCTAGACCTTCTCTAGAGCAGAAAGGGGAGTTTCGTTTGGCTTTTGCCGCTCTGCACCTTGCGTACGCGTCTGACTGCAGAGCAGAGGGCCAGATCTCACACGGGCCCCCGAGTTTCAGCAGCTGCGAGCGGATTTGACGGTCCTTTCAAAACGACTCGACGTTAGACAGGTAACAGTATGGGCATAAATGACGCTTTCATGTCCTCCTTATCTCTGCGAGGTTCGTCGATCAGGGCCTTCTGGTGTGTGTTTTGCGATATTGGCATTCACCAGGGGAAATTGCGTGTTTATATGCACAAACGATGGATGAGGCCTTCCTGCCTCATCCCTGTCTTGCTTGCTTTCTGAACCCTTTAAATCGACTTCTGTCGCTTACCGTCTTTGTTCAGAGCCAAGCACGAACTAAAGAAGTACAAGAATTTGCAGAGATTCGCGGCGAGGTGCAGCGGCTCAGGACCGAAGTGGATTACATCAAGGTAAGCATTGGTAGTGCGGTCGCTATTATGAGTATGATATTATGGGCTGCTGCCACTGAACAAAGGGTTTCTGCTGTGCCGCTGTAGCTTATGTGGCTACTGATGCAACCAGGGGTGCGGCTGTGCTGCTTAAGTGGGACTAGACTTGCTGCAGTCGATCGGTGGACAGAGACAGGCAATCAATAAGGCAAAAATAGCTGCGCACTATATATGTGCATAGAGGCACATGAGCGTATCCGCGAAGATACGCGTACGTGTGTGGGAAAGTACATTATATCAACGTGAATGCTTACTCACAGCTACTAATATGCATAGGATTGCTCGCTTCTCACGATGTTCTATCTCTCTGAAAAAATATGTGTCTGCATCTTCTGTACAGGGTACAAAGCTTCGAGCCTTACAGTCTAGTGAAAAGGCGGCAGCAGGAATGGCCGACCTCAGTCGTTCCATTGAAGCCTTGCAGGTGCGTTCAAGGGTCCCTACCTTATTCTGCCTAGACAGGGTGCTCCTAATCGGGCTTTTCCTTTGGCTACCATTGTTGTGGATTCGTATGGGCAGCTGAAAGTAGCTCTTTTGGGACAGCTTTTCCTGGTCTGTTTAGCTGAAGTTGACCGTGTGCGCCTTGCTCTGTACAGCACCAAATCGATGCCCTCTCCAGCAAACAAGTACGCACCTTCTTTAAGGAATTTGACCCATTGGTTTCTACAAAGTGAAATCTTTTCCTGGTGACCGGGAGGCTTTCTAGGAAGAGAGGGGTTACATGCTTTGTGCCTCTTCAATGCCTCTCGTTTTTTCTCGATTCATTGCGCCCTCATTTTTACCAGTTGCTTCTCCATAGTACCCGTTTTCCCCAAGTTATAAGTGTTGTCATGTCTTTGCTTGCGTTGTCTGCAAAGAGCCGATTGAAGGGGTCGTTGGAGCAGATTAAAGGAGGGGCCTTCATGTCTCGTTGGCCAGGGGAAGGGCCCACTCAGCTGTCAGTAGGAGTTCCCGTCAGTAGTAGCAGGCTAGCGACGCCCCGCACATCGAGGAAGCTGCTGCAGCAGCCGAGTTCACCCCTTACTGCTGGCCGTGTCGGTAAACGTGGGAGCCTCCATACGCAACTGTTGCACATACACACGGGGGACGAGGAACCCATTGCTTCCGCTGCACCAGAGCAAGCTGTGCAGCAACAGCAACTCTCTGGAACAACCGCGGCAGTTGCTGCAGCAGCGCTCAGTGCCACCAAAAGCAGCCATGAATTTGGAATTAGTGGAAGTCAACAAGCGCCCCAGAGTCCACAGGGCACCGCATCAGCGGATCTGCAACAGCAACAGCCAGAGCAGCAACAACAGCAGCAAGGCCTTTTCCCACCTACGGCCAGGACCCCCAGCACACCCCCAGCCTTCACCAGGCCCACACTTCAAGGACCCCACCTTAGGGGCCTTGCGACGAGAAGACACAGCAGCGCTGGAGTGCCCCTTCAGCAGCAGGAAGACACACAGGAGCAGGAGCAGCAACAACGACAGCAGCAGCTAATGGACCTTTCGCAGAAGCGTCGCGTCAACTTTGGGCATCACGTTGCCCAACAACATCAAATCCAGCATTTAGGTCCTCTGGAAAGTGGTAAGTGGCTACTCTGTCGTCCTTTTTAAAGCACGTTGGCATTCTGCGTACCATTACCGAACCCTATGTCTATAGGATCAAGTACAGTAAAAGATATGCTATATTCCTCTCTATCTGCAGGCGAGAGAAAGGTAATCGGTCTGAGTGGAGGGCCTACTGCATCTTTAGATCACTCAAGGGACATCAGAGAATCGCTCAGCTCAGCTTCAACATTTACTACTCCGCGGCGCCCTCCCTCTGTCCTCCGCAGTGCGCGTTCATCCCCTTCTCCTGTCACCCACACTGCAAGGGTGTCTTTCAAAGAGCCTCCAGAGAGCACTCCTCGTCTCACCAGCAACGGAACGCCCCCAGGGAATGAGCACACCGAAGAAGAAAGGGCAGAGACGGCTAAGGGAGAGACCCGAACACACAGTGCAACCATTTGCAGTGAACTAGAAACAGGGGCGGGAGAGCGTGCCCTCTTTAGTGAGTTTGTTGACGCTTTCGCGGGGAGGAGTCTCAAGGTCGCAAGCAGAGAAGTAGGCAAGGAGAAAAACACCGGGGGAACGACGCTACAATCATTCAGGGCTTTCTTCTATTCAGATGCAGCAGCACCTGCCAACACCAGCAATAAAAGGAGCAATAGCCGCAGTAATAGCCGCAGCAGCAGCATGCATGATGATAGCAAAAGCACAAGTGCGAACCACGTTTGGATGCAACAGTCACAGCAACAGCAGGAACTGCAAAGACAGCTGAAGGAACAGCAGCAACTAGAACAGAAGCTGCAGCAGCAACTGCAGCAGCAACTTCACCAACAACTGCAACATCCACAGCTAGAACAGCACGTGCAGCAGCAGCAGAAGGGAGCGGAAGAGATGCAGGCGCTTATCAAGGAAGATCTCCAAGTGAGGAACCCCATCAGCAGTAGCTGCAGCAGCAGCACAACAGACAGCAGCGGGGGGCCCATCTGCGGTAACTCACCCGTCTCAGGCCTTCAGTTCTCTGAGCCTCATCCCGAAGTAGAGGATCTTCATGATTTTGCTCTTGATAAAGCAACAGATACACAGCAGGGTCCAGCTGCTACTGTCGAGACACCGGATGCTTGTGCAACAGTAGAGATGCAGCAGCAGAGTGCAGAAGCAAGAGTCTCGCCGCCAGCTGATGACCCAGTCAAACCCTTAGTCTGAAGAGTCATATCTTAACCCGTAAGCCGTGAGCGCTAAATCCTAGCCAAGAGAGTTTGCTAAGATGGGCAGATACTGAAGAGTTTTAGGACTAGTAGCCCCACATCGAGACCTCCAAACTTGTATTGTGCACCCACTTTTAGGAGGGCCTGCCATTCGTACAAACATACTGTCATGTCATAGCTGATGCAGTTTTCTTCGTGTGCGGTCCCTAATCTCTCGTAGTTAAGAGTCCTTTGAGGAGGGTCCCCAATGGTGCTCATTGTGCCAGAGGAGTCCTCCTGGCTGCTTACTGCAGCCTTTGGCGCGAGAGTCTCCTCGACTGCAAACGGGGAGTTCCTCCGGGCGCAAAGAGGCTTTCCCACGTTGCAATTCGATGTAAATAATGCGTTTTCTTTTGGTGCTGATTCTGTTTTTCTGTCGATAAACCTATAATAAACCGGTCGATTCCCGGTATAAGATCCAGGATTCAGGGTGTTATTCCGAACCCTGTGCGATTGTTGATGACAGAAACGCCAAAAGATCTATTTTGTTTAATACATTATCTGTGGTATCACCCCGTTTTTACTCTGACACCATATAGCCTCAACGGTTCAGTGAGCGTAATAACTGATCGTGAAATAAGACGGCTGAATATAATCCAGACGTTTCAGGAGACGCGTGCAACTGAAGCCTCTGAACACCCAGACGCTGTCACATGTAGCCGGCGAAGCTATGCTATGGCACTGTCAACACACCAGTTATACGTAGCTAGGAGTCGGTTTCAATATGACTAGCTGACATGTCTGTTCGTTCATACACCAAATTTATTGCAGAGTACTAGTCGCGCAAAAGGTGGAAAGGCAATGTTATGTGCGCTTGCGCTAGATGCTGTGTGAAACTAGCTGTAATT